TAATTCCCTTCTGCCTTATTTACTTTGTCTGTCAAATTTGGTTAACCATACCTGACTGGCATACCTAACCATTATATAAAGAAGAAAAAAATGAAACAAATGTAAAAATGTTTTGAAGTGTGAAGTGTGTTTTGAGTAGCAGTTTATTCGTTAATATTAAACAAAATGATCAGACTTAGGTTCATTCTCTGGAATCTCAGCCCACATAGGCTAAATTGCATAATCATCCTCTTATTCATCAATAGGGCTCTCCTTCCAGCATTAAAAGAACCCTATAAATCTCTCACTTCCTCTCTTGCTCACTTGCTGAATCAGCCTTTGTGAAAGTATTCCCTCCAGTGTGTAATACTTTGAGGAAACTTTCAAGAAAACTCTGTGCCCAGAGAGTGCTGATTCAGCACAGCAAAAGAGGTGACTGAGATGGATTTGGAACATTTCATTGGCAGGAACCTGGTTTGAACAAGTCTACACAAATAAGGGAGTACTTGTTTGGCCAAAGGACGCACATTGGTTACAAATTGCTATATATTTCTGAATTTGGACGTGTGGAGTAAAAAAGTATCACCATGTTTTAAAAGCACTATCCTATGCATTCAAATAGTCCATATTTAATTTATGGCACAGAGTAATTCCTTTTCCTTCTTGTGCCTCCATACATAATAAAACAGCTTCTAGAAAATGTACCCTACAATGTTATATGTCACCATGCCACAGGACATGAAGTAAGAAGGCCCCCTTTCTATGATGCATAAATAATAAATCAAAATTATTCATAAGCATGATTGAAGACAAATAATTCTCTCTGGCTTAAAATATATCATTATGCTGCAACTGCTTTATTCACGCATCTCGAGTTCTGACTGGCTGAGCCTTACATTTTGTGATCCTAATCTTCAGTAACACAGTGCTTTCCTGAATCTGATTCACACTTATTAGCACCTAGACACAGAAGGTATTTTCAAGCATTTCAAAGCTATCATGACTTGACAAGAAAACACGTGCTCCAGTAATAGGTGGTAGATTGGGGATGGTGGTGTTGGGATGCAATCTGAATGACCCTTTTTCAGACAAGCTTGCAAAAGAAAACCACTTAAACTAATTTCACAACATAGGTAGAAAACTTGCATTCTTCCTGGATACCACAGATATTTATCTTTTTAAAAGCAAATGAATAAAATGCAGTCCAGCTAATCGTTAAAATGAAGTAACAGATCAGTTTTCTATCAGCATTAAATTTGAACTTTCCCACTGGTAGCTGGTTAAATAAAAAAAAAATTTACTCTAAAATTATATTTCATGTCTTTCCCCTTTTAAATGATTCATTTTTCATGGCATAAAGAAGACAGACTTACTGGAAGTCATCTAAGAAAAATAAGGAAAAGTTTGAGTAGAATAAAGTTAAATACTTTTGCCAAATATGTGTTAACATTCATAGAATGTGTGTAGTATTTCTATGAGGTTGATTTTCATGCAAGCTTCGAAAGTCAGCCAATATTTGGAATCTGTCAGAGCTAATAGCGCATTTGATTGTCCATCATTCCATCTCTATTCCCATCTGTCTGCGAAGTCTAATGATTGTTGTGAAAGAGATCACAGCTGTTTTCCATCTTCATTTTTAGGCATACAGTTTTATTCAGACTTACTATTATGTATTTTCATTTCCTGGAGTTATAGAAGCAACTTAGATGGAGTCATTTCCAGCTGCAAAGGCAGTTAGTTCATATTCCTTCTCAGGCACAGTTGGATCTTGTGATGACTATCCCCAAGGTCATACTTTGACAATTGGCACGTAGATAGGCTATTTTTGACATCCAACCTTATTTTTCAGTATTCGTCTTCTCACCCATCCCTATCCTCAATCCTGAACTTCTCAATTAAGCACTTTCCCCAGATTGAAAATCTTCCCCTGTTGTAATCTCCCACCAAAATCTTATAATCCTGTGAACCTTCCTCTTCTTTTCCCACCTACATTAAGGCATAAGATCTAGGAATTAATCGATTAGAAATTAATCCTATAAAATGTGTAAAGTGTATTCATATAACGAATGGGTTCATGTATTAATTATCCCAGGAATATTGCATTTAAACAAGAATTCTCCAGTAAAGTTACTCCCCACTCACAAAATCATAGGCCTCATTGTCAAATGTGGAACATTACACCACTCAAAAAGCAAAAATCCCTAAGAGACAAGTTGGATGAATATCCTTACTGGCAAGAGAAATAGTTTCTCATGGGGGCTACTGTGTGCTAAGGATTTGTGACTTCAAAATCAAAATTTAAAAGCGAGTTTAGAACAGGTAGCCTTATTTAACAAATTAACAAATGTTCTAATGGATACTGACTCAGTATTATCCCAAATTAAATTCTATCACAATAGTTCTAACAGAATAAAAAATATAACTACCTCAAATACTACTTACTGATATTTTCTCATTAGCTATGCCCTAGTTAATACAACTACAACAAAAATGTGGGATTTATTTTAAAAAACAAGCATCATAAAGAATAAAATTTTAATCCTAACAAGATGTTTCTTGAAACACACTGTTTTTCCCACTTTTATAAATAAGTCCTATGATTTTGTTGTTTGTTTGTTTTTAAGGTGGAATAAGGAGTATAGGAGGACATATTACTTTCTGAATTAAGAAAACTCAGCAGCCATGATCTTAGCTTTCTATGATATTACTAGGTTAAGATACGATCTGGGAGGTAAATAGTTTGTTGAACTATTACAATTTTGTGACAATTATAATAGTACTACTGTTCAAAATTCAAAATTATTTCTATCTGGACAGATGGTCACCAGAGATACAAGGTTAAAAGCTATTTTTCACATCTGATATAAATTTGTTTTTGGGGGGGATTTTGATCTGTTAGTGGTTAGTGATTGCTAGAGGTATTAGAGAAGCTAGTTTGAGGCATGTGGTAAGACAAGCTAGGTGGTAAAGGGGAAAGCATTATATGTTTTCAGTCAGATTTTTGCTCAAATTTTGGCTGGTATATTTCTTAGCTATGTGATTTGGGACAATGATTCTATTTCTGAGCATGTTTCCTCTTCTTTAAAACAAGAAGGGTTATAACAGCCAAATGATAACCATTTTGTGTTCATTAAATGGGAAAATAGAGTGATCGATGGATAATAGGTACTCCCAATATAATCACTACTTTCCATCTCCTCATGTTCATTTCTATGAGCTTACCCAAACTGAGGATCCTCAAGTCATTATCTGAGAGCTTTAAGGTCAGCTTTACTTGCTAAGTGCCACATGATTAGTGTACTTTAGCTCTAATAACAAAATAGAAAGGGACAAAATAGTAAATCTTCAATTGTTTTTTAGGTAAATACAGTGAAGATCGAGTTAGCTTTGGGGGTGTGTCAGAGAGAATGTAGGGCACTGGCAATCTCAAGTGTCTGAATGTTGTATCCTTGCTATTATCTGTAAAGTGCATTAGCTCATTATTGAACTGATATTGCACTGACCTTAAAGAGATGAATCACACGGATTGGATGGACCAAAGGTATGGTGTAACAAAAGTGTGGCCTAGTGATAAATTGGCTCAAGACAGAGGCTCAGGGTCCTTAGAAACACCACACTGAGAGAGAAATAAAATGAAATCAAGAGTCTAACACTTTCGAGGTAGTGTTGCAAAATTGAGTTCACGTTTTATTCATAGCCTCTTTTTCAGCCCCCTGCTATTTAAAGACATTAGTTGCCTGAAATGAGGTTTTTAGGTTCAGTATCAAAGCTTTACTGTTTATGATGTTTTTAAAAGAGACATCAGACTATAGCAGCTTTCCTGTGGTGCTGGATCAAACTTGGATTGATGTAGATACTACTTCCTTCAAGGGATATTTTAGCCATCAGGGAGGTGACAGCCCAAGAGCAGCTTTCTGAAAGATTATAACCAACTGTAACACACTGAGGAACCAAGCTCCAAAGGAAGTTCTTATTCTGAATTTCCCATCTGCTGAAGCCAGTTTGTTTATCTACATGGACTGCTGCTTCCCCTTTCAATGAGGTTATTGTATGTACTGTATGGGTCTGCACAAACAAATAAAACATTATGGCATTCAATACAGTCAAATTGTTGGAAATATTGGAATGTGACTAAAACCTATCCCTCCCACCTAACTAGTATATCTGGCATTCTTCTTTCACCACCTTCACTGTACTTGGCAATCTTCATTGCTTAATGAGCATTTTGCTGAGACATAGGCTAATAGGCTTTAGGGAGATAGATTCTAGCCTTGGATTAAAAAAAAATCAATCTTCCTCTAAAATCTGTCTAAAATCTGTAGCATTCAAATCAATAGTCCACCTACACCTGAGGATTAATAGTAATGGAGCTGTTATTTTTTTGCTTTCACTAGCTTCTGGGATACCTTAGGATAGAAATATAATTATTTTAATGTTGAAATATAAAAATATTAAATTTAAAGGTAGTTTACCATGTGACTGTTTAATTAATTGACTATTTAAATTTTATAACTCAAGCAGATGAAAATAGAGATAAAACCCCAGACCTTAATAGGAATTAATTAGAAAAGTTTATATATTTGGTTTTCTATTCAGTGCCTCATTGCACCTTCAACTTCTTTTTTTAATTTGAAATAAAAATAGATTTATTAATACCTGTGAAAAACAGAATATATTATAACTATTTAGATTACCCACTGTATTGATAGGAAAAAAAATCAATAAGAAACTTGGCACACTGGTTTTCATCTGCTAAAATGTTACCAACTGGTATATGATAATAACTAGTTAAGTAGGGAGAATGCAAACCAAGAGGCTGACAGAGGCCTCATTTCCATAGTCAGGTCCTTGGTAGGCTTTATCCTGAGAATAGCAGGGAGCCATTGAGAGTTATTGAGCAAGAGAGGGGCACTGTCACTTTGGTGGCTAGTGTCAGGGGTGGGAAAATTGCTCAATCCCTGGTCAGCCCTTAAATCCTAGCCACCTCCATCCCTGAGTTCATTGTAGTATTTACAATTCTTAAGCTGTCAGGCAAAGGGTGTGCAAAGGTCGTGGCTCAGAGGGAGAAATGGTGCCTGCTACCTTCTGTCCCCAGCTCGCTGGCCCCAGGCTGAATGTAATTGTCCTCAATGAAACCATCATCATCCTCATCTTCACCGGCCTCCGGACAGATCCCCTTCCTTGTCCCGGGCAGTGGGCGATGCTGATAGCTGAGGCGGTATTTGCAGCAGAGGTGGCATTTGGCAGCAAGTGCAATGAGGAGAGAGAGGACCACAGCTCCCAGCACAACCCCCACCAGCACAGGCCATGCCCGGGCCCCAGAGCCTGGCCCAGGGGTCATGGCTGGTACCGTGGGGAGCTCCGAGGGTCCCACAATGGTTTGGTTTGTGTCACTCATGGAGTAGCTGGAAGACACTGTGAGCCTTGGCTTGGCCAGAAGAGCCCTGGCTCCAAGCAGATCCTAGGTGATAGGCAGCCCTGGGGCCCAGATCCTGTAGGAACTGTGCACAGTCTGTGGAGGAAGCCACACCTTCAACTTCTACCAAAAGATTAAAATGATTACAGGCACTGTTAGGCCTCAGAGTGATTCTTAGAAATTAAAGCTGAGTGTAGTACTTCAGCAAACCACTATAATAAGATATTTTATTATTATGGTTCTAAATGTTCTGTAATGTATGGTATTTCAGATATAAAATAATTAAAGGCAATTAAAGCCCATTATACTAAGGATTGCTTTGTACTAATGATATAGAGATTGCTTGCCTCTAGAAAGAATTTCCTCTAAAGTCACCCAGAAATGAAGTTGAAATTGGTGGTGCTAGGATAAAGGGGCCCCCTTTTTATGAGATAAATGATAGAGAACACATTGACAATTTCTCAGAATATGGGGAAACAATGAATCAGTTTTCACTGGTAGTATCTCAAATTTCTTTTCACTGATGGTCAGAATCAAGTGCATCCTAAGGGTCTAGGATGAAATAAATATATTCAGAAAAAAATATTTTTCTGGAGCCCTTAAGTCTAAAGGTGACCTAGAGATGATGAAGACCATCTTCCTCCCTCAAGGATCTGGAGCTAGCAGCTCATAGGAATGAATCTATGCATTGTTCAAAAACCTTTATCAAAAGCTTACCTGTGGACTTAGAGGGTGTTATGCTCAGTGAAATAAGTCAGTCAAAGAAAGACAAATACCATATTAATTTACTTGTATGTAGAATCTAAAGAACAAAATGAACAAACAAAACTGAAACAGACTCATAGACACAAAAACTTGACTGGTAATTGCCAAAGGGGAGGGGGATTGGGGGACTCAGTGAAAGAGGCAAAGGGATTAAAATAGATCCAGAGACATAGAAGCATGGAACAGACTGTTAAACTTCATAGGGAGGGCAGGAGGGGAGGGTAAGAGTTCAACCAAAGAACTTGCATGTATGCATATAAGCATAACCAATAGACACAGACAGTAGGGGGATGAGGGCTTGTGCTGGGGATGGGAGTGGGCCGGGAGAGGTCAATGGGAGAAAAAGGAGACATATGTCTCAACAATAATTTTTTTTAAATTACAAATTAGTAGTTACAGAATATTCATGAGGATATAAAGTACAGCATAGGGAATATAGTCAATAATAGTGTGGTAATTATGTATGGTGCTGAGTGGATACTTTGTGAAGTACCATTGTCTAATCACTATGCTGTACACCTGAAACCAATACATAATAATACTGAAAGTAAACTATAATTAAAACATTAAAAATAATTACTTTTAAAAAAGAATAGTTACCTCTTCAAATTCCCATCTTAAAAACATTGCAGTATGTCACTTAAGATGGTGAGCTCTCAAAATAGTCTAGGTTCAAATTCTGGACTATAAGATGAGGGAGAGAGCTTAATTGTAACAACTCCAATAATAATAACAAAAGCAAAACCAACTTGAACATTTTATCCTATCTTTTTAAAAAAATATATTTTATTGGTTTTTAGAGAGGAACATTGGTGAGAGAGAAACATCAATGAGAGAAACATCGACCTGCTGCCTCCTTCACGTCCCCTACTGGGGATTGAGCCTGCATCCCGGACAAGTGCCCTGTCTGGGCATTGAACCAGTGACTTCTTGGTGCCTGGGAAGATAACCAACTGAGCCACATGAGCCAGGTTTATCCTTTTTTGTTTGCCTAACTTTCCTAAACTTTAGAATGGAGTTGATTGGTAATACCTCCCCAATAAGTTTATTGTGACATTGAGTTAATTTACGTAAAACACTTATAACAGTGTTTGCTATAATTATGCTCTCCATAATTATCACTGTTATTATTGCTATACTATCCAAACACCTTACCAGGGCTTAATTGCAAGGATACAGCTTTTGGAGAGTGTGAACCAAAACGGACACCATTTGTTTCTGCAACTTTTCTAGCAAAATTCATTTATTTAACCACGAGCTATTTTCTGCATTCTTACCATATGTCAGTCACTGATCTAAGTATAGGTACTGAATTTTCAAAGATAAACAAAACCATGTTTTCATGGTCTATACATTTTAGTTGTGGGAGATAGACAAATTTTTAAAAAAGAAATAATTGTGATATTTTCAGCCAATGATAAATACTATGAAGTAAGGTGTTAGTGAGATAGTGAATGATCTGAAGGGCATAATATTAAATTAGGAGGTAAAAGAGGGCACATGTTATCATATTTCACTCAATGATTAGGTGTCTACATTTTGCAAGGCACTGTTCTAGGTTCTAGAGATTGAAGTAGTGAATGAGGCAAATAAGATCTTTGCTTTCATGAAACTTATGTTCTCATTTTGGAGCAGAAATTAAAACAAGTAAAACAATGAAGAAATAAAAAAATAAGTTAGTAATACATGCTATAAATAATGGGAATATGATTAAGAGTGACTAGGAGACTACTTAAATTAGGTGGCCAGGAAAGGACTCTCTGATTATGAGTCACTTACTTGCAATCTTACAGACCAGGAACTATGCTTGCAAAAATCTAGATGCTACAGGTAGAGATAATACCAAGTGCATACTAGGTCCAGAGTTGGAAATAATATTTGCATATTCAAAGAATAAAATAAGGAGAGTATGGGTTGGTCAAACAAGGTTATTGCTGGCCATAGTTGAGAGTTTGGAGTTTATTCTTGGCATAATGGGCTGACATTGGAAGATTTTTAATCATAGTAGTGAAAGAATCTATTTTACTTAAAAAAAATCATTCTGGCTGTTGGGTAGAAAATGTACTGTAGAAGGGCAACAGTGGGAGCAGGGAGATATATAGGAGGCTATTGCAATGATAGAGTTTAAATATGACAGTGGCTATTTTTTTTTAAATCATTAGACTGAAAATTGAGGGGCATCTTATACATGGAAGTCAGCCTTGGAGGGAGCTGCGTGGTGGCTAGCTGCCCATGCCTTGTCAAACAGGCTTCCTCCAATCATGAGCCTTATTTTTACTGATGTCAGCTGATGCCGTAATTGGAGGTGGAGAGTGCACAGATGCAACAGGGACTGGAGCGTTCTGAGCCCAGCCAATAAAAATGTTAAAAAAAAAAAAAAAAAGATAAATGCCAGTGGTTGTCTTACTCTGCAAAATTCAAACTGAATGTCATCAGTTATGCAAAAGAGCATGGAAACAGAGCTGCAAAGAGACAATTTGAACCTCTTCCCACTGAGTGTATGATCAGACAGTGGAGAAAACAGGAAGAACAACTCCTTAAGATGCCAAAAAAGAAGAAGGCCTTAAGGGGAAAACTAGCAAAATCTTTAAAATATTGATTTTTAAATTTTGGGTTGGAAAAGTGGGGGCCATCTTATACATGGGGGCATCTTATACACGGAAAAATACAGTAGGTGAATTTAAGATATATTCTGAAGAAGAGCCAACAGCATTTTATGATGAACTAGAAGGAATGACGATTAGAAATGTAGAGGAACCAAGGATGTTTCTTAAGTTATTTAGCCTGAGTAACTAGGTAGATGGTGGACATGTTGCATTTAAGATCCAAATAGAGTTGTCAGAAAAAAAAAAAAAAGACAGTTGTACATATAAACTGGGATCTTAGGAGCAATGTTAGAGCTTGAGACAAAAATCTGGAAAATCATTGGCGTATAGCCTATTTTAAATTTTGGAATTGAATATGATAATCTAGGAAGAATGTTTAGAGATTATAAATTTACTAGAGGCCCGGTGCACAAAAATTTGTGCAGGGGGGGGGGGCCCTCAGCCCGGCCTGTGCCCTCTCGCAGTCTGGGACCCCTTGGGGGATGACCACCTGCTGG